TGAACACATGAGAAATCATATGCTCTTGTGACAAGCTCATAGAGAAAATCTTATAAGGGTAAAATCATTTCGGATCTTGCATGATCTGACGTCAGGTTTTTAACCTGGGAATTTACGACTAACTTACGACCATATACGGTCGTATACTACACTTGTACACGACAGTCGTTTATTTTCAACGTATACGGTGATCGTAATTTAACGTACGGCATCGTATACGCTCATCGTACACGATCGTCGTATACGATGACCGTTTCTAGACGTATTTCTTTGTATACAACCGTTTACGATCGTGCTTTTTCGATCTGAGTATTTACATGAATCAATGAAGCATGACTTTTTCATCATGTAAACGACTTTTTCGACCATGTGTTCGTCATAAAATACGTTTCGTTTTTCATATATTCTACTTCTTCTTTTTTTTACCTTACCTTTGCGTTTCGTGTTGTTGCAATGAAAAAATATACACTGATACTTGTATAAGCGTAAATTTGAGTTATGATGATTCATTAGGCTTTGAACTTTATTCTAATATATATAAATATTTTCTATCGTAAATTTTTTTTGAAATTGATAATTATAGAAGTAGTGTTGAAAGCTTCAAAATAAATAAGTGAAAAATTTTATATTTTTTATTTTATCGTTCGATGTATGAAAAACTCTATTTATCACTCAAACTTCGTTAGATGCATCCGAAGAAAGTATGGCGAATGTGCTTTAAGAAGACTCAGGCATTTTGAGAGGTGGTTGTGAGTGTTTGTATTGCTTATCCCTACACATCCCGACCCTCAATTATTTGGTTTAAATATCTAAGAATTTCAATCATAATCAAGCAATAATCAACAATCAATAAATAGAAGTAAAAATATTGATACAAATGAATAACATCTTTCAATCAGTATTCAACAAATAATGAATGATTTTATTTTCAATATAAATCTTTCTTTAATGTTGATATGGTGTGTTATACTTGTTTACGACATAATGATCATAATGTTGTATCAAGTTCATTGTAAACACTTGAAATGATACTTAAATATTCAAATTTATTTGATTTTGATCAATTATTAATTTCAATTCAAATTGGATCTATAGAAAAAACTTGTGTTAGTGAAGCCTTAAAAATAGGTAAATACTGAGAAATAAAACAAGAATTTTTTTTCATTTGTTTTTTTTTCTAAAACAATAGCTTATTCAACATATCAACGTTGATTTATTGAAATGAATGATAAATTCGATTCAACATCAATGATTAATAATGAAAAACGAACATCAGCTGCTAAACTTGTTAATAAATTATATTTTTTTCTGATTAGATATATGCTTAATATGGATGGTACGATAAAAGGTGATGATGAATCACGTATTAGTGTTAAATGTGCTATACCAATATGTCTATCGTATTTATCAACAATTTGGTTGATTTGATTATCCTACTGAAAGTATGTTTAATGCTTGTTTGAGGCTTCTTTTTGTAAAGTTTCACTTCAGTAAAATAGATGTATTTTATAATCCAAAATTATTTCTAATATCGTAACAGTAGGAGGGCCTAGGTGAAGGGGATTGTGGCAGAGTTTAGTTGACGTGGCTTCAATTGGTTAAGGTCTCAAAGTTTTAGTGAAAGTTATCTGATAGATATGACAATTTCACTATTAAATTTTTGAACCAAAACGATATAAAACATATATATATTGAAATCTGAAAATTCAAGAAGGAAGATTTCTCGATATTGATTCAGCAGCTCTAGTCCTATTCCTACTTTTAATTTTTTTGAAACCAACAAAAGACTAGAACATTATCAGACTCGAAACGATATCAAGTAGAACACTTTATTGAAGCTCAAAGCCTGCATTTATACATCAGAGATTGAAATTATACAATTACATAACTACCTCAAAAAAGTTCTAAGCCGAAGTTCAAGATATGAAATCAATTGTATCCTCTAAGGAGTTTTTCTTTAGTCTTGAAAGATTTCTGATTAGATATAATTTTGTAATTAAAATTGAATTCTCTAAACGAAAAGATGAAATTCACATCTCTATATGACTTAAAATACATTAAAATTTATCGAACATCAAGGTATCTTTTTTTTCTTTTCTTTAAGATATTACATATCTTTTATCTTTATGTGAATACGGTGATCTACATTTACGTGGTGCATGTGCAAATTTACTTGTTACATTAATTCAAACAACAAATCATCTTTTAACACTATCATCATTACCAAATTCATTTAATAATTCTTTTATTAATTAATGTTCACTTGTATCAACTGATTCAAAAGACAGTTCAAGGTTATATGTGTTAATGATAATAATGCACGTGTTATACATGTTTCATTAAATGCATTTACAATCATAGGAATTGAATTATTAAAAGATTCTATTCAACATAGTACAAGTTCCTATGTTCTTGCTAAAGTAGATAAAAGAAATTTATGATTATAATAATTTTTTTTTGTATGTATTTAAAATAGGTTACTCTAGCTCAATTTATAGATGATATTGATTTTCGAATACTAACTTATCTGGAACAACAACAACAACAATTAAAACAACAGTACTCTGATATACATGTCCGTCAAGCAACTGCTTCGACTTTTGCTAAGTATGTATTTTGTAGAGATAATAACTACGTAGCTTTTTTCGAATTTGAATGAATAAGTCGATTCTATTACATTAAGTTAGCTATTAGCTACTTATTGATTTTAAGGTTTTATTGATCACAATTCATTTTTACTATGTCAATGGATATATAAAATTCATCATTCATTACAAGCTCAAGCATCAACTCAAATACAAATTGTTTGTTATTTTTGTCTTTTATATAGGTTGAATGTTTGGAAGACATTTATGTTCTTTCAAATGTTTTAAGACCAACAACAATTCGACCAATTTTTTCATAATCAATATGATGAACTTCGTTTATTTATAAATTTTTTTAAACATCCCTTTATATTACATGATCTTAATAGTTTAATCTTTTCAAGTAAAGAAAAAAAAAAGATATTTATTATATTTTTTTTTAATTCTTTCTTTTTATTTGAAGATTTATCAAATCTCAACAAATGAAAAAATGTTTTGAAAGTAGCACAAATGATTCAAGTAATTCGAAAAATTGAACTATTTTATCATCATTCTTTTGGACAGAATATAGTTGATATTTCAGTTTTCACAGAAGAAGAGAGTTCCAAAGTTTTAGATTTAAAGAATATATTTGATCATGTCTTATCTAAAGGAATTCATTTGTTTTTTCTTTTTAAATAGAATGAAAAAGATTCATCAACAACATCAAACAGAGACAAAGTTAAAAGAGTTAATCATACACAATTAGGTACTTTTGGAAATTATTCGAATTAATATGTTCATCATATCAAATACATAAAAGTTTATTAAATTCATCAGAAATAATCATTATTGTCTATGAAATCAGTTTTAAGTCTTATTTCTACACAAGATTTATCAAAAAAATTTGGAAGAGAAACACTTAATTATTTTAAATCAACATTCAGTGTACACAAAAGGTAACTTCTTTTAAATAGTAAATACAGGGGTCGCAGCA